TATACATAAATGGACGCAACTGAAGCATAGTTATTACAGAAATACATCAGACCCACGGGTGTTAACGTCAGATTGTCTCCCTAGTGTAAGAAACTGAAAGAGAAAATAAAACCCAAAATGTACAATAGATATTATGAAAGAAAAAGAAATTGCTCAAGCAAGGAACTGAGCTGAGGGAAAGGAGAAAAATAAGGAAGGGAAAAAAATATATATATTTATGTGTGTGTGTATATATATATATATATATATATATATATATATATACACACACACATATATATGTTACATGGATGGCTGGGTAACTGTACTGCTGATGTCTAACAGTTCATTGAAAGGAACAGATAATTTTTCTCTTCCTTTCTAATAGTTCATTGAAAGGAACAGATAATTTTTCCAATTGCATTCTGTTTTCTGAATACAATTTTTTGTATTTTGAACAAAAAAATTTTTTTTGAACAAAAATTTCACTTTATTAGCCTAATTTGCGAATAAGATGAGAATGAGGTTGTGGTCAGGTATGAAGAAAGAGGGTGAAAACTTGTGATGGTAAAATCCCTTCAACACTCTGGTGCAGGCCTCAATCACTGCAGCTTCACTTCAGTCAACAGAGCTGTGATCCATACACTGAAAATGCCTCCTGTTCTCCACTGTGTGGCCAGTAACTTTTCACTTACACTGTGATGAAGTCTACCAGGTTGCCTTTACAAGGAGTCATGCTGTCAGGAAAGAAATTTACTAAGGTGTCCAAGACATGAGTTCGTTGAGCATAGGTGTGATTCACATCCTAAAAGCCTAAAGCTCTAAAATCTGAACCACATTTGAATACAGCACAAGCTAGGAGCTGGAACTCTTTTGCCTCTTCTAGGTCTGAATAATCCACAGTTATAAAAAGATCACTTTGCAAGTATTTTAGAGCACTAACAGGATCTATCTGGGCCTTTTCTTCAAAGCTGTGTTTTCTCATGAGGTATGTGCAGTGCCTCACCAAATAATCTTTTGAAAGTCAACACAGCTTCAGTGACCACAAGTCATCCAGTCTCATCTTTACAGAACAAGATTTTCCTGCCTTCCCACCAAATAAGAAATCAACCTTATCTAACTCATCATAAACAAGCTGATGGGCAAATCTTGGACATGGTTCTTTATCCTGTAGACTTTTACTCGGACAATCCTTTGCAGTTTGATCATTCTTATAGACACAACACCAACTAGTCCTCACAGTGTCATAAATACAGAATGAATTTTTCACATTCTTTTCTCTCTTTTCCTTGTCTTTGCAGAGTCCACATAAGACATCTATTTCATTCACTTCTGCATCAACAGTTGTTCTCTCTGTGAACCCTGTCACCGAGACCATCCCACAGTCTTTCTTCATACCATCTGATATTATATCTACATGATCAGAGTCCACATCATAAACAAAGAAAACATTCAAATAGGTTTTTGGTCTCTCACCACCAAACACCTATAAGCAACTATTTTTTCAGTGGAATAACATGCAGTGTCCTATCCGGGATAGGATGTCTTCAGGCCCAGCATTACAGGAGTCCTCTTAAAGAAGTTTCCAGGTTTGACACTGACAGTTGAAAAAAAAAAAAAACACACACTGAATTGTGATTCACTAGCTGTGCTGTCATCTATGCTGCCATTACATGCCAAAATTCTACCACCAAAGATGTAGATCTTATGTTTTTCTGAATCCATACACATCTGATCATCAAACACCAATTTCAGTCCTCCATCAGCAGCAGTATCTTCACTTAGCAACATCCATCTGTTTGTGTCAATATCATAATGGTATAAATTACTTTTCAGAGACTTGCTGTTCCTCAGAAAGGAATCCAAATAACGTCCCAGTGTACAGACCTGCCTCTGTTGAATATCAATGCACATTTTATCACATTATCTGGCACTTGGGCCACTCTCTTTCTCAGTATCTTTAGAGATACATGTCCTCTGGTTCTCTTTCACACTGTATGCCCAGAAGTCAGCAAGATCTTGTGTTCCATCCAGGCCACGAAACAAATAAAGTCTCTGTCTGAACATCAATAACCATCTGATGGCCCCCTCTCATTCCTGGCTGGATGTCTTCCCCATCACCTTTGGTGCTTTGGGGAATGATATAACTCCATTGTGGTTTCTATTCCTGTTGATTGATAAACTGAAGAAGCCATCATTGACAGCTTTCTCAATCAATTCTCTGTAAGCATCAAAACCACTCCTCAACACCAGTTTGCTGTGCAGATCTGTTAACATAGGATGTTCCAGGGCTATCTTAGTTGTCCCTGGCAGTGATTCAAGAGCCTCTGTGTAGTTGTGTTGTCTGAAATACTTTAGGCAAAGGCCAATGGCTTCCTGTTCATGGTACTTGCTGTACCAGTCAAGACATGGTTGTACAACATCAGGATCATCAATACCACTAAGGTCAATATACCAGTTGCTAAAGTGAAAACTGGGCACCCACACAGGAGTGGAACTACCTTAATGAATCAAAAAGGAAACATTTGCTCATCAATTCCATGCTTCAAGGTGAATATTTCCTTGTTATAGTCAGTCTTTAAACCACTAGACAATAGCTCTGTCATATTTTCTTCATTCATTCCATCAGGCTTAATTACTTCAAATTGCAGACATGCATTTTCTCATATTTCCCAAACGTGATATTCTGAACTATAGCAGGTCATTCAAGCTTTAGAATCAAGTAGTGGGGAGGACAGTTGTTCACTGAAGACCATCTTGAAGACTGGTCATGTGGTTTATCCACTAAAATGTTCTTGGGAATATAGGTAGACCAGAAGGAGGTCCACTTCTCTAGCACATAGGGCTGAACCTGGCACTCGGGAACACTAGCAACATCACCACCAACCGCCATCCTGCCAGCACCATAGCGGCCAATTTTGCATGCTTATATCTGGTAATCTGAACAACTAATTTGAAAACAACAATATGCAATACGACAGCCACTAGTGAATTCCCACCATCTTGTCTAATGAAACTCTATCATTTCTAATGTTTCTATTTTTAATTTTCTTTAGTGATTGGATCAATCTTCAATTCTCCAATCTGATAATTGGAGCAACTTCCTTGAAGATGACAATGTGTAATGTAACAACCCTTCTGTTCTCAAGCCCTGTATCATTTTTTGCTTTGTTTCGTTTTTGTCTACATTGTTGGTACTTTGCTATTGTTCTTTTTCTCTGTATTATTCTCTTTAAAATAAATCTTCAAAACAGGGCGGGAAGATGATGTGAGTGTTGCACACACCACAGGGCAGGTAGCTTGCATACAATATAAGGGAGGAAAAGAGGCTTGCGCCCTCCCACTTTTGCTGTTGGTGTGTCTGCTCTCTTCCACCAACATTAAATGTTGCCCCTATGCCATGCATCCCAGCCTTAGACCCAGGATTATGGACTGAATCCTCCACAAAATGTGACATAAATAAACCTTGCCTTCCTTAACTTTAGGTGTCAGCTACTTTGTCCGAGGAATGAGAAAAATGTGACTAAGACAAAAGTTACTACCAGAAGTGGAGTCATTCTTCCCACTCTACCTGACCAAGGGGTTCCACAGTCTTCGGGAATAGCTTTTGCAAAGTTCAGAAAGAAGTTGAGATGCTGCCTGAAAGAGTACTGTTGGAATGCTTAGGCTGTTCTGAAAGGGAGATCCAGGTCAGAGCTCAGAAGACCAAAAGGCTCACACAAACTGCCAGTAAACACCAGGCTTGGGAGCTTTTTGGTGGGAAGGACTACACTGGCTGTTGTTGGACTCCAGTTGATGTCTTATGGCTTGACAAAAAGTTTGTCAGCATTTTGCTCATGTCGAGAGAATGTCCCTGAGACGTAGATTAAGAGCAAAGGACTAATTAATCTCACAGAAGATTTTTCAACAGTCGTATCTTTAGCCAGTGGCATGACTATTGTTCGGGGCTTTTGGTCAGATTTATGTTACAAATCAGAGATCACAGCACAATGACTTAAAATGTACATCTGACAAGAAACAAAGCTCCAGTAAAGCTGTGCACTACAAAGATAAGAGTTGAGATCTTGGCTGCTGAGAAGGAACACAAGAATAGAAAACATATCCTGAGGGCATAACAACAAGCAGCAAGTCTCCATCTTTGCAGCCTCAAAACTGCAAAAGTGAAAGACTGCTTTGAGGAGAAAGCCACAGCACTGGGTTCCATAATGGTGGTAGCTGCACCACGTTACTGAATGGGAGCAGCACAGCAAATTTGGTCTTCAGGATAAGAGGATAAGAGTCCCAGTGATTTGTGCACTTGACCCCTACAGCCAAGGGAGACAAAAGCCGGGCTGGTTCTCCAGTTGACAACAAAACTTAGCAAAACATACATTGTACAGGATTTAGGCACATGCAGAATGCAAGATTTATAGGGTTAAGGATGCTTCCACACTGATTTCAGAAGAGCTGGTGGCCAGTGTGCCTCTGGGAGGGCAGTGGATGAAAATGTAAGCATAAAGCAAAAGGTGCAGTAAACACTGAACAAGTTTGGTGCAAACAGCAACATGGATCATCTGAGGAAACCTTAAAGGACGGATCAAAGCTAGCTCAAGAGAGAAGCCATGGTAGCCACAACCACTGGAAATGCCAAGGGATGGAGCCCCCAATTCTTTTGGAGTTCCCATCTTACCACACATTACATCAGATGCTGGACATGTAACTAGCGAATTAATGTCTGACCTGCTGAATTTTGGACTTGCTTTGTCCCCAAGTGGACTGAATGTTGGAAGTGTTTTGTCATTTGAACAGGAGGCTTGCAGAATGGCTTATTTTTGGAATAGGGTGGAAAACTTAACACTATATTAAAAGTTATTACAATATAAAAGTGAAAAATAAAACTTTGATGGTAAGAAAAAGAACATTTATGAAAATGATGATATTGGCTAAGTAGGAAAGAAAAATATGCAATACAGCCTGTATCTCCCAATATAGAAGGGAAAACATTAAGTCCATAGAAAATAACCATACTTGAAACTAAAATGTACATTTTCCAATTCAACATATTTAATTAAAAGACACGATGTATTCAGCAGAGACATAAAAATACAGAATTATGTACACTCAATATTTCCATATTAAACACAACAAATATACAGTATAAATTTGTATAAGTTATTTACTGAAAACAACACTATGCACCTACTTTAGGACAGCTCCATGTGGGAATGGTACTCTCTGCAAAATTTGTGAAGATGTATTGGCATTAAACATGGTGCACTTTCTCTGCAGAATTCCATTATATGAAAAATTTTCACATGAGTTTCAAAAGCGGCTTGAATGTATGTATAAAGTTTTTCTCCAGTGAGGCTTCTTTCATGTACTTAATGATGGGTGTGGACTAGCACTATTCCCACATTACTCATATACACAGGATTTTTGCCCAGGATGTTCTTTCCTATATGTCAGAATTATTATGTGTGCAGAACTTGCACATTATATACATACATAGGATGATTCCCCAGTGTGAATTCTTTCATGTACTTTACATTCACTCTGCCTTGTGAAAGCATTCCCACATTGCTTATATACATGATTCCTTCCTAGTATGAATTCTTTCATGGGTTCGCAAATGTTGGATTGTGGGAAAAGCTTTCCCACATTGTATACATACATAGGGTTTCTCCCCTGTGTGAATTTTCTCATGAATTTTACAATAGGCATGTGTGGTGAAAGCTTTCCCACATTGTTTACATACATGGGGTTTCTCTCCACTGTGACTTCTTTCATGAATTCGACAAACAGAGTTTCTGCTGAAAGCTTTCCCACATTCCTTACATACATAGGGTTTCTCCCCTGTGTGAGTTCTTTCATGCATTTTGCAATCACAGTACCTGTTGAAACCTTTCCCACATTCCTTGCATACATAGGGTTTCTCCCCTGTGTGAATTCTTTCATGTATTTGACAAAGATGTTTGGTGGAGAAAGCTTTACCACAGTTTTTACAAACATAGGGTTTCTCCCCAGTGTGAACTCTTTCATGTGTTTGACAGAGACGTTTTGTGCTGAAAGCTTTCCCACAGTGTTTACATACATAGGGTTTCTCCCCAGTGTGAGTTCTTCCATGAATTTGATAATTAGAGTTTCTGCTGAAAGCTTTCCCACAGTGTTTACATACATAGGGTTTCTCCCCAGTGTGAGTTCTTTCATGAACTTGACAAATAGAGTTTCTGCTGAAAGCTTTCCCACATTGCTTACATACATAGGGTTTCTCCCCTGTGTGAGTCCTTTCGTGTACTTGACAAGACGTGCGTGTTCGGAAAGCTTTCCCACACTGTCTGCACACATAGGGTTTCTCTCCTGTGTGAATACTTTCATGTATTTGACAAGATGTGCGTGTGCTGAAAGCTTTCCCACAGTGCTTACATGCATAGGGTTTCTCCCCTGTGTGAATTCTTTCATGTATTTGACAAGATCTGCGTGCAATGAAAGCTTTCCCACAGTACTTACATACATAGGGTTTCTCCCCTGTGTGAGTTCCTTCATGTAATTTGTAATCAAGGTGCCGGTTGAAATCTTTCCCACATTGCTTACATACATAGGGTTTCTCTCCAGTGTGGGCTCTTTCATGTATTTTACAATATGCATCTGTAGAGAAACCTTTTCCACATTGTTTACATACATAGGGTTTCTCCCCAGAGTGAGTTCTTTCATGACTTCGACAACGAGTATTTGTGCTGAAAGCTTTCCCACACTGTTTACATACATAGGGTTTCTCCCCAGTGTGAACTCTTTCATGTGTTTGACAAAGACGTTGTGTGCTGAAAGCTTTCCCACAGTGTTTACATAGATACGGTTTCTCCCCTGTGTGAATTTTTTCATGTATCTGACAAGATCGGCGTGTGCTGAAAGCTTTACCACATTCTTTACATACATAGGGTTTCTCTCCAGTGTGAAGTCTTTCATGTATTTTACAATATGCATCCGTAGTGAAGCCTTTCCCACACTGTCTACATACATAGGGTTTCTCCCCAGAGTGAGTTCTTTCATGACGTCGACAATGAGTGTTTCTGCTGAAAGCTTTTCCACACTGTTTACAAACATAGGGTTTCTCCCCAGTGTGAACTCTTTCATGTGTTTGACAATCACGTTTTGTGCTGAAAGCCTTCCCACAGTGTTTACACACATAGGGTTTCTCCCCTTTGTGAATTCTTTCATGGACTTGACAAGAACTGCATGTGCTGAAAGCTTTACCACACTGTTTACATACATAGGGTGTCTCTCCAGTGTGAAGACTTTCATGCACTTGAGAATTTATATGGGTGCTGAAAGCTTTACCACATTGTTTACATACATAGGGTTTTTCTCCAGTGTGAAGTCGCTCATGTATTTGACAAGATCCATGTGTGCTGAAAGCTTTCCCACACTGCATACATACATAGGGTTTCCCTCCACTACAATTTGTTTCATGGATCTGATCATTATTGGGTGTGTCTACTTGATTTATATCCACATTAACATCTGGAGTACAAAGGAATAGTTCTTCATATTGATTCCAACCTTGATATTCAGAGCATTTCCATAACTCTTCACTTCTGCAAAGAAAAAGAAGTCACAATAAAAAGGATCATCATATTAATGACTTACCAAAGCAAGTTCTGTTTGTTGCCTGCTAAGAAATTTGGACAATGAATTAACTGAATGCCTTGCAAGATACGTTCAAAATCACCATTCCCAAAAAAGCAGTATTCATTTGGGAATTTTAAAGTTACTATATTTTGAAATACAGAAGACTTAGCTTCATTTTCAGCATTTGGTTCATATGAGTATCACATACTGATCATTTTGATCTTTCCCCCATCACAATCCCTTCTATCCTTAACCTATTCTTTTTCCTTAACCAATTTGTCTTCCTCATCTCCAAAAAACCAGTCTGTCCTTTCTATATCAATTATTATTTACTGTACTCTCTTAATTTGCATTTTGGTTTCTCACATGAGAGTTATTTCTCTCAACACTATGGGAGGAAGACCCATCCATTAATTTTGGCAAAGACATAATATAGTTTATCTTTTTGGCAGATTACGGAATACAGTTTCATTTTCTCTTCAGTGCTCACAGTGAAAACCAGGTCTTAGTACAAAATCTCCAACTTTTTAATTTGTATTTTAGACCGATTTTCAATGATGATTAAATTATTCAGGGTGATTCAATTTGCCATTCATCAATACCTGCTTCCCACAGTGCTAGTTTCACAAGAATGCACAATCACACAAAGCCTATCAACAATTTTCCTTATCCATGAATACACTGATAGATATCTAAGGTGATTCACGGCTTACTGGCTCTAAATTGACATTCTGTGAGGATAGGTATGCATGCATCTGTATAATATGATCATTTTGATACTTTTGAGAATATACTCAGAAGTATGTCTTGATCAACTTTTGGAGACATCTGCATACTGATTCTCAGACTGACTTTAATTAAAATTCCACCAACCTTCTAAGAAGGTTTAATCACAAAGAACTCAATACCCTGGACAATGGCTTGAAAACATATTGAAACACTACCATTAATTTGAACTTTGAATAACTGTTTCAAGGTTACCAAGTTTTGGATATCACATCTGTTATAATCAATACATATGCACAGAGTTAATAAAGACAACTTCCTGTCAAAACTCAAAGTTTATTCTTTTCATATACAGATATATACATTACCTAAACATATTTTTACACATGTTCATGATGCAATGGTCAGATTACAAAATGAAGTTGCACACATCTTTGCAGAACATTTCTTACATTAAACTGAACTTGCCCTCATTTCTTTGGTTGTCATGCCTCTGCTCAGACACTGACTCATGAGGAACATACTTTTCCCTTGTGAGTGCAAATTACCTTGGACTTCTCCAGTAATTTTTGTGTTCTTTTTCAACATCTTGGTTATCCCCAACTCTTCCTGAATTATAGACAGAAAAATATAAAGACTCATCATATTTATACATAAGAATTAATACATTTTAATTAGATTCAGGCATGAGCTATTCTTCAAAATGCTTTCACATTCTTTGTAATCAAACAGCAGTGATGAGCAACAAAGGATATTCTCTGATAGTATAAAAAGAGAGAGCTGTCATCCTTACCTATGGCAGCGACATGACTGAAGATTTCCCCCATCACATCTCTGTAGAGCTCCCTTTGGGATGTATTCAGCAAAGCCCACTCCTCCATGGTGAAATTCACAGCCACGTCCTCAAACATCACTGCCTCCTAAACAATCATACATACATTTCTCAAAGGTAGTTGGAGACTCACAGCCTAGGATATTTTAACTCCTCTCATAGACAGCTGAATTGAAGGCCTAGCATGGTGGTGCATAGCTAATCCTAACACTCAGGAGGCTGAGGCAGGAGGATTGCCATGAGTTCAAGACCAGTGTGGGTTCCACAGTTAGTTCAAGGTTAGCCTGAACTAAATACAGAAAGAACCTGTCTCAATAATACAAAACAAAATAAAACAAAAACAAAACAGTTAAATGGAGGCTGAAATGTACAAATCTTAGTTCCATATCTTGGTCATTAATTCCATGTATAGCCATATGTTTTTCAGACTGCAATTATGATACTAGATTGCAATTCATCCATCAGCACATTAGGAGCACTGATTCTTTTGCTGGATCACTGCAGGGGTACCTGTGCACTGTCTAAAGCAGAGCTCACAGTGGGAGCCTACAAAACCACCATCCACAAAGCAGAGCAGAAGATAAATATTGAATGATAGGCCATAGGTAAAATCTATTTTCAAATCTCATTATTGATGTCATTAAGTCCTTTCTTTGATGCACTTAAGCAGCATTCTGAAACCTGAATTTGGCTTCATAGAAACAAACACAGTTGAACATCAAATATGGTATATAAATACTAACAAAAGTATTCATAGAAAAAGTTTTATTGGAACAGTCTATGAACAATGAAAACGGGCCAAGGTTGCAAACTATCTTAGAGCTCAGTGTCACCTTCTACTCAGACATAAGAGATTCTAGGCTGGTCTGAGAGGTAGATGAATAAAATGTATTATATCCATTGAAAACCAATATATCACAAGATATGGTGGTACATGCCTGCAACCACAGCACTTGGGACAGTGATGCTGGAGAACTGCCTTGATTTTAAGGCTGGACTCTGTTACATAATTATGTGAAAGACAAACAGACACCCTGACTCAAACTCCCAGAAACAAAGTAAATACAAGTTGGATTTGTTTAAAGTTATAGCTATACAATATAATGAAACTCTCACAACATTCAATACCTTCTAAGCAAGGAAGGTAATAGCATCCATAATATGACTAAAAAGCATTCAAATTCCACAGTTCATGAGACAGTACCATCACTAGAGAAAAGGACAAATAGATTTCAAGAACGGAACACAGAATTCAGTGAGTTCACAGGTATGTGGAATACGGATCATTCATAAAGCCGGTGGTATTTATCTCTAGAAAAAAACACAATCTCTTTATGTTTAGTGAGAAACAGGGATGTGTTTGTGAGCCTGGATTGCATATAGCCTTCTATTCTACCTGCATTATATGTTACATATTGAAATGTTAAAGATAACCTTGAATGCTTGAGAACTCAGTGAAAAAACTTACCAAATGTGAAAAGCTTTTCCTAAAAAAAAAAAGTATCAAAATTAGAAAATACAAGGGATATAAACAAGGAAGTAATAAATGTCATGTGTGCCCAGTATAAATATTTTGTATACGGAATAAAAATCAATGAACACAAATCTACAAAACAATCACTACAACATATCTAACTGAAGAAAAAACATGGAATAAATAACAAGAACCAAACCTTTCTTAAAAATCACTAAAGAAAATGGAAGAGTGGGAGAGAACAATAAGGACACAGATTTATGGGAGAGAGGAGAAACTATTGCTACACTCTACATTCATTTCCTTTACTTTAGAGTTTACCAACACATACAGACCAGTAGCTTCTTTCCACTGCGCAGAGAACACACTGTGCTGTTATTCCTGGAGAGAGACGTAAATCTTTTCAAGTAAACTTGAAAAGTCCTGTGTCCCAGGACCAATGACATGGATGAGAAAGCACTTGACTCTTGATTCACATATCATCACTTGTGACAGAAAAATACCTTCTCAAAATAGTTCTCTTCACAAATCTATAATAATCACTTACTGAAAATGCAAAGGGGTGAAATCAAAAGAACATTTTTCATACAAACTCACACATGGTAAACTTAGGAAAAGTCACCAAAGTGGGACAGTGGTCATCCACGGGGCAAGACAGGGTTGAGTCAGGAAGGGTATCAATCATCTGTACGCTCTGAAACAATGCCAAAGGCCCAGTGAAAAATATTTTTCACTTTCTGCATATTCCCAGGTTATTTACATTATAAGTGTTAAGTCTAAGCAATAATTTTGAAAAGAAAGTTTATTGCAAAATATTTAACACAAAATTGCCAATAAGAAAGGACACATTAATCTATAT